TTTTTTTTTTTTTTTTTTTTAGACGGAGGCTAGTGATTGAATGTTGATGTTCTAAAAGTTGACTCTGGCTGCTGTGTGTTGGTGGATGGGGGCAGTAGAGTGGGAGACCAGTAATAGTGATTGTAATTTCTTGTGAGTCATGTAGACAGTTCTTTTGGGAAGCTTTTCTTAAGGTAAGAAAAAGCAGGGCTAGTGTAAGTTTTGTTTATACTGAAAATGTTTAAAAAATTTTTGGAGTCAGGGTCTCACTCTGTTGCCCACACTGGAGTGGAGCGGCATGATCTCAGCTCACTGCAACTTCCCACTCCCAGGTTCAAGCGGTTCTCCTGCCTCAGCCTCCCTAGTAGCTGAGATTATAGGTGAACACCACCATGCTGGGGTAGTTTTTGTATTTTTAGTAGAGACGAGGTTTCACCATGTTGGTCAGGCTGGTCTCAAACTCCTGACCTCAAGTGATCCAATTGCCTCGGCCTCCCCAAATGCTGGGAATACAGGCATGAGCCACTGCACATGGCCCCTTGCTGCCTTTTGATAATTATAACACAAAAGCTTTTGGGGAGGTAGACCTTCCACTTAGAATTATTACCTTGGTACAGATTCCCAGCCAATATATTGTTTTTGCAGATTATATTACAACCATCAATAAACTCTTCTTATTTTCAAACATAAAACTATCATACTGAATATGCTTTTTCCAACTACATGTGCCACCCTTCACTCCCCCTCCTCAAATCTGAAGAATCACTGTTTTATCCAGTGACACAAAATCATTGAAATATGTTTCACAAACTAAAGCACAAATCTCCAAGCATCCACTACGGAGAAAGATGAACAGAACAACAGTCATAGATGAACACTGGAGGACAGTTGCAGGCTACGCTAACCATGGAGGCTGAAAGGGACATCTTTCTCTACAACTCACTTAATCTCAAGTTAACCCCAATGAATGGTTTAACAGATAATTTTCTTAATCTTTTTATGGAAAAGTTCATACCTACACAAAGTTAGACAAAATAGTTCAATGAAGCCCCATATATACATCACCCAGCTTCACTAATTATCAACTCACAGCAAATCTTGCTTCTTCTAAACTCTATTTCATCCTCTCCTGTAGTATACTATTTTGGTGCAAATATTAAACATCACATTATTTCATCTGTAAATATTTCAATGTTATTTCTAAAAGGCATCTCTAAAAACACACACTACCATTATAGTTAAAAACATTAACACGAAATTTTTTATATCACCAAATATTCACTTTAAAATTTTCAGGAAAAAATAGGACAAGATCTTGGAACTTAGAGTTGACATCAAAAACACGATCCATAAAAGAAAAAAATAGATAAAATGGACTTTATTAAAACGTAAAACTTTTGCTCTGCAAAGGACTCTGTTAAGAGGATAAAAAAACTAAGAGATTGGGAAAAAAATACTAGGAACTGCATATCTCCCAAAGGACTCATACATAAAAGAACTCTCGAAACAAGCCATTTAGAAAATAGGCAGGCCAGGCACGATGGCTCACGCCTTTAATCCCAGTACTTTGAGAGACCACAGCGGGCAGATCACCTGAGGTCGGGAGTTTGAGACCAGCCATGCCAACATGGAGAAACCCCATTTCTGCCAAAAATACAAAATTAGCCAGGAATGGTGGTGCATGCCTGTAATCCCAGCTGCTCGGGAGGCTGAGGCAGGAAAATCGCTTGAATCCAGCAGGCAGAGGTTGTGGTGAGCCGAGATCACGCCACTGCACTCCAGCCTGGGCAACAAGAGCGGAACTCCTTCTCCAAAAAAAAAAAAACAAAAAGTGGGCAAAAGATATTAACAAAGATTTCATCAAACAAGACAGATACACAGATGGCAAAGAAGCACATGAAAAGATGTTCAATACCATCAGTCACTGCATTGTTCAAACACCATTGCATCAGAGAATGTAAATAAAACCCACAATATCACTACATCTCTATCAGAATGGCTAAAATTTAAAAAGTGATAACCCCAAATGCTGGTGAGAATGAAGGGAAACTGGATTACTCACACATAGCTGGTGGGAATGTAAAATAATACAGCCACTCTGAAAGAGTATGGCAGTTTCTTAAAAAAAAAAAAACTAAACATGGACTTACTACATGACTCAGCAACTGCATTCTTGGGCATTTATTCTAGAGAAATGAAAACTTATGTTCATACAAACGCCTGAATATGAATGTTCATAGTAGCTTTATTCATAATAGCCAAAAACTGGAAGCAGCTCAGATGTTTTTCAACTAATGTTAAATGGTTAAACAAACTGTGATGTATCCATACCATGGAATTCTATTCAACAGTTTTGAAAAACCCGCTATCAATACAGGCGACACCTTGGATGGATCTTAAGGACATTATGCTGTGCGAAAAAAGCCGGTCTCCAAAGGCTTGTTTTGAGAGTTCTTTATGTATTTTATGTAATAGTCCTTTGGGAGATATGCAGTTGCTGGTATTTTTTCCCAATCTCTTGGTAGTTTTTTCATCCTCTTAACAGTCTTTTGCAGAGCAAAAGTTTTTCATTTTGATGAAGTCCATTTTGTCCACTTTTTTCTTTTAGAGATCACGCTTTTGATGTCATCTCAAGGTCCAAAGATTTTGTCCTTTTTCTAAAAGTTTTATAGTAAATATTTGGTGATATAAAAAATTTCAGGCAGGGTGCAGTGGCTCATGCCTATAACCCTAACACTTTGGGAGGCTGAGGCGGATGGATCACCTGAGGTGAGTTTTGAGACCAGCCTGGCCAACATGGTGAAACCCCATCTCTACTCAAAATACAAAATTAGCCGGGCGTGGTGGCACATGCCTGTAATCCCAGCTACTCGGGAGGCTGAGGCAGGAGAATCACTTCAACCCAGGAGACAGAGGTTGCAAAGAGGCGTGATCATGCCATTGCACTCTAGCCTCGGTGACAGAGCGAGACTCTGTGTAAAAAAAAAAAAAAAAAAATTTAGATTCACAGTTGCCAAGAGTTAGGAATAATGGAGAGGAAGGTGTGAATATAAAGAGAGAGGTAACACAACAGATAACCTTGTGGCAACAGAATATTTTTATATCACCTTTTTTTTTTTTTTTTAAGAAAGTCTTGCTCTGCTGTCCACGCTTCAGTGCAGTGGTGTAACCATAGGTCACCACACCTTCAACCTCCTGGGCTCAGGTGATCCTCCTGCCTCAGCTCCACAAGGACTACAGGAGCAAGCCACCACACCTGGCTAATTATTTTTTAATTTTTATGTAGAGCAGGGGTTTTGCTGTCTCCCTTTGTTGCCCAGGCTAGTCTCCAACTCAGGCTCAACCGATCCTCCAACTCGGCCTCCTAAAGTGCTGGGATTATAGGCCTGAGCCACCATGCCTGGCCACATTTTCATATCTTAATTGAGGTGGTAGTTACACAAATTAATACATATGATTAAACTGCATAGAACTACACACACACACACACACACACACACACAAATACATGTAAAACTGATGAAAGCTGAACAATGTCCATGGATTTTGCCAATATCAATTTCCTGGTTTTGATATTGTACTACAGTTATATAAGACGTTTTCATTAGGGTAAATGGGGTGAAGGGTACATGGGATCTCTTTGTACTATTTATTTAATTTTATTTTTTATTTTGTAGAGATGGGATCTCATATTTTGCCCAGGCTGGTCTCAAATTCCTGGGCTCAAGTGATCCTCCTGCCTCAGCCTCCCAAAGCACTGGGATTACAGGCCTGAGTCACCATGCTTGGCCTGTACTATTTTTGCAACTTCCAATGAATCTATAATTATTTCAAAATAAAAGTATAGGTCAGGCACAGTGGCTTACACCTGTACTGTCAGCCCTTTGGGGGGCTGAAGAGGGAGGTTCACTTGAGGTCAGGGGTTCGAGACCAGCCTGGGCGACGTCTCTACAAAAAATAGGAAAATAATTAGCTGCCTGTGGTCCCAGCTTCTGGAGGGCAGGAAGAGTTGGGGAAGGGGGCTGAGGCGGGAGGATCACTTGAACCCAAGAGGGTGGAGGCTGCGTTATGATTGTGCCACTGCAAACCAGCCTTGGCAACAGAGTGAGACCCCGACTCCAAAAATTGTTTTAAAAAACATTTTAAGTATAAACAAAACTTTCACTAGCCCTACTTTTCTTTCCTTAAGAAAAGCTTCCCAAAAGAACTGTCTACATGCACCACAAAAAATCACAATCACTATTACTGGTCTCCCACTCTACTCCCCTCATCCACCAACACGCAGCAGCCAGTCAACTTTTACAACATCAACATTTAATCGCTAGTCTCTTCTTTCTTTCTTTCTTCTTCTGCGGGACAGAGTCTCGCTCTGTTGCCCAGGCTAGAGTGCAATGGCGCGATCTCGACTCACTGCAACCTCCGCCTCCCACGTTCGAGCGATTCTCCTGCCTAAGGCTCCCGAGTAACTGGAATTACAGGGGCCCACCAACACGCCAGGCTAATTTTTTAAATATTTTTAGTAGAGACGGGGTTTTGCCATGTTGGTTAGGCTGGTCTCCAACTTCTGACCTCAGGCGATCCGCCCGCCTCGGCCTCCCAAAGTGTAGCCTCTTCTTAAAACTCTTTTAAATAGTTTCCCGTGGCTCTTAGAATAAAAGTTAACGTGTGGTTAAAATAAAATAAAAACCTTGCTGTGATGTAGTCCTTCTCCCGGGTCATTCCACACCATCTGTCTTCCACTAAGCTTCAGTCACACTCATATGGCCCACCTTCTAGTCCTCAAAATAGCCAAAACCTCTCCAAGCCTTACAGCCTTCACACAAACCGTTTCTTCTACAGAGGGCAGAGAAAGACAGTGGTTTCGAAAGTCACGTCCAAACTATAAATCACAGGACACTGAATTCTGCGGGCTTTGATTAGCATAAGAGCTGCTTCCGATGGGGGAAACTCTATGCGGGGTGTGCCAGGAACTGATTTAAGACTGTATTCAGATCTTCCAAGCAACGCCAAAGACGCCAGCTAATAAACAGCATATTTGATTGCTTACACTGTGTGCTAGGTCCTTTTATCCTTCAAACGACCACCCACAGGAGAGGCTAAGGTCCCATTCACAACTGAGCTCTTAAGGAGGTTAAGTAGCCCAGAGTTCAACAGCAAGTGAACGGGTTGCTCAAAGCCAGAGCTACTCTTGACCTCTACTCTATACACTGCCTTTCCTCCAGCCCATAAATACAACGAATGAACCTGCAGGTTGGTAGCTCCTGGGATCCGAGGTTGGAGCGCCACAAGACCCCAACCTGCTCTCACCCCGAGACAGGGAAATAGGAACGGGGGCACAGGTCCACCACCAGGTGCCTCTGCGAGAGGCAGCAGTGCAGGCGGCGGGGAGGACCAGCGGTCACTCACCTGGTGCTGGCGCTGCGGCCACCTCCACACAGCGGTCGGGGCCTCCCAGACGCCGACCCGCACGCCCCAAGGAAGCCCCCGGCGAAACCCTCGCGGGCCCGTCCGCAGGCACCAACCAAATAACGCAGCGCCGGCACCATCCCCTACGCACGCTCTCCTTCCTCAGCGTTCAGAAGCCGCCACTTGACCCTCCACGGCCGGAGACCGGCGTCCTCTAGCCCCGCCCCTCACGCGGAGGCCAATGAAGTGCGCGCCTTCGCCCCAGGTGGGAGAGGCT